TATGTATTTTTGGGAGAGGTGATACAACTTTGAAAATAATTTAATGTATGTTCAGCATTGTTGACATAAAAGGAATTCATATTTAGGCAGTGTTTAGGGTAGGTAGATTATGTTATGTATGCTGCATAGATACACTTAACAATTTTTAAGTCACAGCTTTTAATCCCCTTTTACTAAAAACAGCTTCTAAAATTCAGTAATAGTTATATCTCTACTTTGCAGTTTGTAATGCTGCAGAATGCTTGTTTCAGAACTATTTTCCAATTCTTTCCTGCTGTCTGTCTTCACTGACAAGTGGACTGTAGATTATTTCAACAGATACCAGCACTGCTCTGCACAATTGCTCAATGCATATATGCTTCAGCATATAAAAGGCATCTTGTTGTTTCTTTTCAACATTTCACCAAGAGCTGAGTGTAGAAACCCTGATGATATTGGTTTATCTTTTCAAGTTATTTATTCAAGAGCTAGGAAAAGTAGAGGAGGATGGAAGGATATTCTGACCTTATATACATGCTAATAATCCACAGCAGGTAGCCATATAGAAGCAGCTTGATATTGCATTTTACATTATTATCTAAGTGTAAATAAAAAGAGGGCAGAAAAGGTAAGATTAAAGACAGGTATAAGATTGTGTCCTTCTTTCTCTTTATGTAGTTGCTATCATCAATTGCCATTCCTGTTTACCATCTTCAACAATGACCGGGAGGATGGCAAAAGACAACCAATCAGGAGGTAAAGCTGGCATTCAGACAGACCTAGACGGGCTAGAGGATGGGCCAGCAGGAATATAATGAAATTTAGTAAGGGTCAAGGCGCATTTCTGTACCAGGGAAGGAGGAATCCCGGCAACAGTGCAAATTGAGATGGACTGACTGGGGAATAGTTTTGCAGAAAAGAACTTGGGGGCCCTGGTAGAGCAGCAACCTGAATATGAGCCAGCAATGTGGCAGAGAAGATGGACAACAGCAACCTGGGCTTTACAAAAAGGAGCAGAGCAAATAGATTGAGGGAAGCCATTATTCCCTTTACTTAGCATTTATTAAAGCATGAATTAGACCACAACTAGAATACTGTTTTGAACCATGGAATTCAACACCTGGAATTCAATGTATTAAAAGGATTCTAAGTACATAATTTATCTATTTTAACAACATCATCAACTTTATTTTTCTTTTTAGGATACAGAGATAACTCTGATATATGATGTTACATTAACAGGGTTTCATTACACTTATGTAAGGCACCACCTCTCCTTGGCCCCAGAGTTTTGTTTGGAGTTAATCTTCCATACATTGATAGAATAATCTGAGAGCTCTAGAAAGGTAATAGGGAAAAGAATTATTATAGTGCTTGGTTGAATAACATGTTTTGAACTTGATTAAGTCAAAGGATACTTAGAGCACATTTTTCATATTGTACAGCATCCCAAAAGAAATTGAAGGTGGTCACAAACTGAAAACTGGCACACAAAGCTCTCCTGCCCACACCCAAATAGTGAAAACACTAAAAGGATGTATTTTGTTCACAGAAACTTTGTGAACTTTTAATTTACAACATATGGAATGGTGACTATTATAGAATAATTGTCTTTTGAAATACCTAAAATAAGCAGAATAGAGGTCAATTCTAAGCTCTAGTACTTCATGTAAAAGAAAACTAAGATAACTCAAGATTTTTTTTTTGATTGCAACAACAATGCACCATATAAATAGGGAATTTGTTGTGATATTACAGTAATCTCTATATCAAGATCAAAGCTACTGGAAAAAATAAAGGCTATCAAATCAAGAAGTTTATTTTCTGGAATGGAAGAAGACTAGATTAAAACTTTCCACTGTACTGAACTCTCACCCTCTTAAACTATGTGGGCAGAATTTAAGTCCACTTTTCACATTTAATTTAAAAGAAATACTAAATGTATTATACTTTTATTTTCTCTAAATTTCAATAATCGTAAACTATTTTCCCAATAGTACAGGTCACCCGGGTAGAAAAGTTTGCCATCACTAATATTGGTATCTTTCTATAATTTATTTTTCCATATGCAAATAGAAAATAAACTATTCCTGCTCAGTGATAATTCTGCTCCCATATTCCTTAGCCCACAGATTTACTCTTCTAGCTACTGATTATTTAGAAACAAAAACTCCTTCCCAAAATCTTTCACTTGTAAGACACTATAAACAACTTTGACATGATACAACATGCTGTGTTTAAAAGGGAAGTCAAAACACACTTTCTTTTTATTCTAAATAGATTATGGTAAAGTGGTTGTGCATCCTTTTTAAATACTATTAGTGTTA